AAACTGTTGCTGTTATAATGCTGGTACTATCATTAGATTTATAATTTTCTAGCATTCTGAATTTTCCAGAGGAACATCTTAGAATCTTTCTTTGCCTCAGCTAAGTCACTCACAAGCTGATTACTGGATGCTCATCTTTTCACCAGCACTATCTTCCCATCCTATTCCTTCCAAAAATCCAACTTACTTAGCTGCTACTCACTGGAAGCCTGATAAAATGAGCATATTTGCCAAGGAATTTGCTGCTCTTATGGTCTCACACTAGCTGTATCACTTTCTCCTTAAATTCAAACCAACATTACTGAGGGTTTCATAGCTATCATCCCAATAGATTCAACTACAAATGCTGTGTCTCATGGGAAATTAGTCTTTACAGATAGCAGTATGGAAGTTGTAGACATAGGCACTGAATGTAGAGAAAATACAGTAAGGGCTAATGACACTTGTAGTCATTTTCCTTCAAGCACTTTTGTGTGACATGTCCAGCAACTGGATGAGAAGAAGGTAAAATATTCTGTATGGACTCTTGGCACTCAAAACATTAGATCTGGCACTTGCTGTATCCTGGTCACTTCAGATGCTATAGCAAGTCCCTCCTTCTGGGTCTTCTGAATCAGCTTTGAGAACTTGTAGTACAGCTCCTTTGGTTAACAGCTACAATGCCTGTCTCTGCAGTAGCCCTACTGCAGATCCTGTCAACCACTATTAAGCTGATTCAAGCGTCCACTACACAGCCCAACATTATCTATTCTCTCTTCAAAATTGATTCCAAAGACAAGAATAGGCTCACCTTCATAGATGTAGATAGACCTCAAAATATTGTATCATTTATCTTGAATTATTCAAACAGTCTCCAGATAGGGGATCATATACTGGTCTATTGCCTCACTAAAATGGATGCTCAATTACTTCCAGCACAATTAACGTATAATTTTTATCATGCAAAACTTGATAAAGAACAGTAAAACCTCACCTACAATTAATGAACTAGTGGCCAAGGCTCCTACATCTGAACCACCACCAGCTATTTTAGCACTAGCATGGACTACCTAGAAGTGCATATGGTGGTACATTGGAAGTTACCTTGTAACCTTCTAGACAAAAAGCAGGAGTCTGGAAGAGCAGGAAGATATGTGAATCAAGCATGCTCAGTTGTGTTTTGGGATCCTAATGATAAGGAATGGACATTAGTGTCAGGTTAAAGTATTGTTGGTGTAAAAGAACAAAAGTAATGGGCACATATGGACGGTACATTTATAAATAGCCATGGATATGGTTGCTTCCAACTCAGGACTGTGATGCTATGTAGTTGGTGTCAAGCAGCAATACCCAAGCAGGTTAGTTCTTTGGAAAATTTCACTGTAATAATTTATTTATTCTTTTTTAAGGCAATAACATCAAGTTCTACCCAGAGAATGAAAGATATTGAAGTAGCCCTGACTGAGATGTGGCAAGAAAAGTAAGCAATGCCAGACACCCTCATGAGAAAGCATGTCATACCCAATAGCAGGTCCAAGCAACACAATGGAAATACCTGAAAGTTATAAAGTTATGCAAATAAGTAGCAAAGTGCAAGAAATAATACTGTAAGTATGATGGCACAATTAGATACATAAGAGACATAGAAATATGTACTATAGAGGCAAGCGATCATATAGCTAACATCTTTTTCTCATACGCATATTTCACCTTAGCCTATAAAATATTAGACTTTTCAACAGCTGCCGAAAGATTAGCATGATATCTTCAATCTTGATATGGTAGGAGACCTAGGCCCGCAGTAATGATAATTTCCTTCATTGTAAGTGATTCCACTTGACATGCGTCATCATAACATATTAAGAAACCCTTACTGTATCAACTTTTCCCTTATATTTAACTATCATGACCTTTGATTCTAAGGCATGCCATAATACTCATTCAATACTCATTCAATACTCAACAACCACATCTCATTCTCAACTGTGTTTAACTCTACCATGTGGCAGCACTCTAGCACTGGACTTGAGCTTGTTGATGAAAGTAGCGAGCTCCCCACCAAACTCATTATAGTAGGTTGGGTATCCCCTATCACTTGAAATGTAGGCCTGCAGGAAATCATATTGCCAATAGCATGAGTCCTTTGTAAAAGCCAAATATCAATTTCATATCACTGACTGGTCCACTCTGACCTTGCAGTGGACTACCAGGCAGGAATTGCTAACCTTAAGACATTGCATATTGATATTCATGACTGGCATATGCAATCATTTGGCTACTATAAGCAGTATGGGATGTACTATAATCTGTAAGGAGATTATGAGTCACATGGAAATACAACCCAGGTACATACAGGTGCATCACTACCTCAACCACCACAGCCATTGACCCAGTGAAAGTCTTGCAGTAGTCAGAAGGATGAACCAGGGTACCAGTTGCATTGCAAACCTTGGGTACTGTGACAGAGACATTTCCCAGGTTAACGAGATTTATGATTTTGTGCGAGTTGTCGATGATAACATGTGTCACCGGTTGTGTGTGAGGCATAAGATGTAGGAATGGTCATAATAGTGGGATTCATGTCCAAGGAACCACTAGTGGCTAAGGCTATTATTTGCAGGCGGGATGCTCAAGTAGCACACAAAGACATCAGGAGGAGAAGGGAGAAATGAGAACAACATGGGCAGTGATGTGTGGTAAGAGGGCAAGTTGAGTAGTCATAACTTCCTAACCTCCCTTGGATGTCCTTAGGTTGAGTTGCTACTTACCTTTTAATTGTGGCTTGTCTGTTTACATTTGTGTACCATAGTCACTTCAGTCATCCCTCTTAAGGTACCTCTAAGGTACATGTATTCTGGCTTAAAATTCCATCTAAGGGATATGATATTAGATGGTATTCTCATACAATAAAGATTGTAACCTGGGCCATTCCAATACTTTCCCTGAAAAACCTGGGCCAACTGGGCCAATGTATTGAGTCTGTCCCATGACCCATGCAGGCTATCCCAAGCAGCAGTTTTCAAGGGTTATCTTCATATTAGCTGGGGTGTCAGAAGCCATCTCCACAAAAAGCACATCTCTACTACTAAGCAATAGCATAGGTAACCTATAGGTATTCCATGCTGTACCTGTGCCCACACCTATGTGGTGAGTGAGCATTAAGAACAAATGAGCAAATGAGCATAAAAAGAGCAAAGTCATGTAAATGTAAGTAAAGTGCAAGGAATGATACCACAAGTATGATAGCACAATTAGACACAAAAGAGACATAGAAATGCATACTATAGAGGTGAATGATCATATAACTAACAGAAATGTGCTGCTTCTTCACGATTTCTGTCACTTCCTGATCATAGATGATGTCACTAATATTTGCTGTGAATATTGACGGACAGGAGTTGCAGAAGTAGATGTCGAGGCCAATGATCATACTCATGTGTTGGTTTGTGGTAGTGACTTAACCTTGCAATGTAACAGAGGACATAATCGGGTATTCGAAAAGTATCAGCACAGGTAACAATGTCCATGTAGCTAGTTACCATCAATCCTATGTTTCTTGCTGGATGTTGTAACTTCTGCCTGTGGACATAGTGATTTTGTGAAGACACACCGTTTTACATAGTGCTTGCCAGAGGAAGCAATAGTTTGTGGCACAGAAGGGTTTGAGGCTAGCCGTCTAATTGAAGGTGATCATCATAAACTTCTATGATCTCATTGTGCGACTTCAAGATCTTCTTTCTGTAAGCAGGATTTCCCTCCAAGATGTCCATGAAAGAAACCATTTCAGAAGCATCTGGTTTTATGCTCTTCAAATGTGGTTCTTCATTGTAATTGATGGTGGAAGAAATAGTAGCTCCCTCACAATCCTATCTTATAATGTGAGCTTGATCATAGATGATCAGGATGGAGAAGGCAGGAGTACGATATTGTCAGCCAAGCTGAGCTGCAGCATAGCTAGTTATTTGTCTCAGCGTGAGGTAGGGAGCACTAGACTCTGGGATATAGGCGACATATGGTACACAAATGTAAACAGACAAGCCACAATCAAAAGGTAAGTAATATCCAGTGGAGAATGTCAGAATCAGAAAGCTCTTCATGTAGCATCTTGATTAGAGCTTGTAAGTGTGGGCTCTCAATAAGATTGAAAGACCATTGACAGATGTAAGTGTAATCATAAAAGTTCACATGCAAATTTACAGAAATGTATTCAAGCTTACACTCTGTGCCTTATTTCTGAAAAAGTCAAGCATGATATTTAGATGGCTATTCACATCATCACTGAATGAATTGCCAGAGTCACTTGTTCACTGTCTTCATACCTAGCTGAACAACCAGCTTTGACTCCTCCTCCTATGATGATGGAATTCCCACTCCTCCTCCTCATATATCTAATGAGTTATTGGATATTGTTAATAGCCTTGTGGAGATCACGGATGCCATGATTGCCAACCTGCAACAAGAAACACAAATAGCATTGCAGTAGATCTCCCCTATACTAACAGGGGAAGCAGCACCAGATACTGCCAGTACATCGGTAAAAACTGAGAAACATCCTCCCAACCTTGATTCTATATTTTCTGTCATGCATGAGGAGATTATTGTCATCCCTCACAAAGAAATACCACCTGTTGATGAAGTCTCTGCACTTGTCTCCATGCTAAAAGCGCTCCATATTCATCCTCCTATGATTATCCTATCTACTCTCTAGATGCCAACCACTTATGTAGACACTTTGGTCCTGATTCAAGCATTGAGGCCCACTATTTTTGCTGAACATATCTTCATGCCAATTTCTTTCATCTACATTATTGTAAACAAGGAAGTAGCCCAACTCTGATCTAACACCAACCACAAAAAATGGTGTTCTAAGGTAGCCGAGGCATGAGGCTTACATAGAATATAGTCTACATGCAAAATAAGTGAGGTGACATAGCGCCTTTTGCTTCTGCCAACTTTGTAGTCGTCATTCACTCTAAGTCCTAGCCTCTAGGTCTGTGTTTTGCATCCTATCTAGTATTATTATGTTCCCAGAAAACCCCAATGACACTATTGTACCCGACTATGCTCTAGAAGAACACCAGTTTGTTAGTTATATGATCATTCACCTCTACAGTACACAGCACTTCACTTACTATTTACATGACTTCCTGACCTCCCTAGGATGTCCCTAGGTCAAGTTATTACTTACCTTTTGATTATGGCTTGTCTGTTTACATTTGTTTGCCATATGCCGCCCATATCTCAGAGTCCAGTGCTCCCTGCCTCTTTGGCAACTTACTCTGGACTCTAGTCTGATCTCTTCTGATCTCTCAGTAGCCTCTAGAAGTGGCCCACTTCACTCCTATCTTAACACAGTTGGCTCATCAACAACTCATACAGGATGGTCTTATGAATGACCAGGCCACCCATTATTTAGCGTCGCTTTGGACCATTGCCAACAACGCGGCTAAGAAACGATGGGCAGCAGGACAGCGAAGACTAGCGGAGGTTAGAAGACAAGAGGAAGAAGACAAAGAAGCTGCTAAGTTAGAAGAAAGGAAGAAGAACAAGAACAAATATGCACCCCTTCGGTGTGGAAAGGTCCCTTCTGATCCCAGTGTTATTCCAGCAGTGTATGCCATCCAGAAAATGAAAGTGGGTGATTTCTGTGAACTACACTACTTCACTAACAAAGGCTTGAACAAGGCCAAAGCGGCGGTACTCGTCACAGAGCCAGAAGCACTTATCATGCTCCTGGAAGCCAACAGAGCTCACACATGGATCCCAGCGGCTGCTGTCAGAGACCCCAAAGCAGCAGCGGTCACTAAGGATGAGAACCTCTCCTGGCAGGAATTCAACAAGGCCACCCCTCAAATGATCTCCATGATGAGAATTCAGGACTGGCCAGAAGATCACATCAACATGCACATCATGTTCTGGTCAGTGTTACAAAACCACCACTGGTGCCACTCCCCAGACTAGCTCAAGCAGAGAGCTTTACTGTTATGCCAAGCCCAACAGTGCCACAGATGGCACCTCACAGTGGGAACACTGCAAGGCTGGAGCCTCGAGGAGATCAATCAAGATCTGTTGATAGAGGCCAGGGAGGAGTTATTCAATGAGCATATAAAAAGACAGATCATGAAAGCCATTCAGGTCAGTCGCTTCTTTCCCTTCACGTCTCGAACACCCAACTAACCAGAAACCCCAAATCTCTCCCACTACAAATCTTTTCACATCCGGATGACCTCTCCCTCCAACTATCAGCTATCACATGTTCTTCATGCCCCCAACGATGTCATCACAATGCACCGAACTGATCCGATGGCCAAACATGTGCCATGATGGCTATCCCCCCGGCATAACACACTGCCAAACCCTGGCATAATGCACTGCCCATCACCGGACCTGCTATCACAGCAGGTGGCCGCTAACCATGCCACAAGCAACCAAAGCCTTGCCTTGCCAGCAGCTGCCGGGTGCCACGCAGCACCTATTAGGGCAGAAGAGAGTCTTCCAGCCAGCAGAGAACTACTCTGGAAGTAATAAGAAGGTATATACCTATTGCGAACCTTCTTCTTCTAGCTCCCTCCCATGCTGCGCAGTTTGCCTTGGAAGGCACCCACACCACACCATTGAGTGCACCTTGGCCCGAATGTGGGACAAACAGCACAAGACCTATTCAGAGTACATCCGCAAAGGTCTCTGGACCAAAGATGGGAAACAGCTATGCACAGTGTGGCAGAGGGACAATGGATCTACCACCCCCAAGCACGATGCCCGCCACATCTGTTCTGGCTGCAGAGCTACAACCCACAGAGCCTAGAAGTGTCCTAGAGTACAGACAGAGGTAGCCTCTAACCCCGTATAAAGCAGATACATGGGCATGTAAACTGCTGCAAGCAGGCATCCTCGAGCGTTTTGCTAAGATACCAGAGGGATTCTGTTTAGGCTTCCGGTTAGATTTTCCTGCCATAACACTTGTACAGTCCCCTCCGAATAAAGAGTTGATTAGTGAGTACAAAAACGAGTTCAAAGCCATCATTCAGACAGAGTCTGCCAAAGGAAGGTATATCGGCCCATTTTCAGCTGAAACATTGCAAAGTCTCCTAGGACCCTTTCAATAATCCCCACTTTCCATCATTCCCAAGCTAGGGAAACCGGGAAAGTTTTGCTTAGTCCAAAATTTCTCCTTCCCGCACTCTCTGAATGTGCTGCACTCTAACCCTTTGGTTGATTCATACATTAACACAAACAATTTTCCTACCACCTGGGGTAAGTTTTGTACCATTTACCAACTCATTGCAACCCTACCCCCGGGATCTGAGGTCACAATGCAAGATGTAGCAGAGGCATACCGAACAGTACCTCTACACCCATCACAATGGCCAGTGGGGATAGTGCGCACCTCTGCAACCCAGTTTTATGTAGATACTTGCATGGCATTTGGTATGACACCATCAGCTGGAGTATATGGCCACGTTGCTGATGCAGGAGCTGAAATTTTCTGACACAAAGGCATAGGCCCGTTAGACAAGTGGGTTGATGACTACGTCTTCTTCAGGATAAGATAGGAATTCCTAGAGTGTTTCAACGAGGAGAGAGCGACCTGGCACCGCATGTTCACCATGGAAGGTATACACCAAATAGGAGGTTGCCTATGGTTTGGAAGCACATCACCTACAACAGGTCAACTAGAAGAACATAACAAAGATTGTTCACAGCCAATAAGAGACTTATCTGAGAATTCGCTAAGATCAGCACACAACAGACTTTTCTCCTCCTGTATGCAGGATATAGATATGCTCTCAGGACTTTTAGGCATCATTTGGGAAATTCTCAAAGACCAACCATTTCAGACCACAACACTCTATATAGGATTCATCTGGGACCTCAAACGGCTGCCAGTATATTCAAGTCCCCTGAAGGCAGACAAGTATCTTATGGCGATCCACAACTGGAGAAAAAGGCTCACGCACACACTGCAAGATGTCCAACAGCTGTGTGGCAAACTGCTGCATGTGTTGTAGAGACTGACATCTCTGTGGCCTCATAGAGGTCTAATTTCCGATGCATGTATGAATGCTAATCATTACCTGAATCATTCCCTATCATATCCAACTCAATATGCACCAAACCCGAAAACATCAGACATCGCACTTCGCACTTCGGACATTGGACTATCGGACTTCACATCGGCCTATCGGATATTGCGTGCACTCATCCTACCTATGTCCTGTCTCATTGTGATAGCCCCACTAAGTGCGTAGTTACTTGGTTTCCCATCACTAACATTGTCGACCACATTATTACATGTCTCCAGCACCTCATGTCTTATTACATAGCACATCAGACCCAAAAATATTGTGCTACTACTTTCACCTATAGGGTTCCGGATTTCTATGTATCTATATAAATATTGGACTCCCCATAGCATTATCATCATCCAAGTAGAGGAGAGTCGTTCTCTGATGCTTAGGGGTCAAACCCGATATTTCGTAGTTCTTAGTTAACATTGCGAATATCATTGTTCCTTCACCGCCCATATCCATCATTGTTACTATTGCGCACACCACTCGCTTTCCCAATGCTTGCTATCACATTATTATTAGTTTCCGATAACCCAAACCCAAACCCAAAACCCCAAAAACATCAGACCTGACACTTTTGCATCGGACATCGTAATTATACCTTTGAACATTGTTTCCCGCACTTGGACTATTGACCCCACATCACTCACTGACCCCCAAAACTATTCCCAGACCGCAGACCCCTGGGTCGAATGCACTTGTCTCACCAAGTATAGCAGACTAGGCAGTACAAGACCACAACATAAAGATATCAGTTTGAAGCAATCTTTGTATAGCCCCACTCTGTCTTGTATTCCTACAGCGTGCACCTCTCACAAACCTTCTAGCCTTCTCTGACGCCAGTTCAGGTATAGGGCTGGGCATCATCATTGGAGACTTCTGGAGAGCCTGGTGTCTCATACCAGGTTGGCAAACATCCAATGGAAAATGGGACATTGGGTCGGCAGAAGCAGTTGCTTTCAAGCTTCTCATATACTCTCTCACCACTATCACTAACACTAGCGGCAATTTCCTCATCCACAAAGACAATACAGCAATTGTTGAAGGGTGGTGGAAGCGTCATCACCGCAACCAAGCTATCAACCAACAATGTGTTCCTAACAATCAACAAATTCCTCATTGATCTACCTCAGTGTATCAACATCTCTACTATGTACGTCTCTAGTGCGTCCAACCCAGCAGACAAACCATCCAGAGGCATCCTTGGCCTGATTGAGCTTCTTCTACCCCCCATTGATATATTCCCATCGAACTTAACAAGTTCATCATTGACGCAACAGCGCCCCTCTCCCTCGCCGAACTCCGCCATCTATGTAATGGGAACTACTCCACTCTCACACATAAACTCATCAATAGAGCGCTCATCAAGCTACAAGCGGAAGAATGAGTCAGAGCCATGCTTACTGAAGAAGAAGAAATCATCAGCAATATGCTCCAAGAAGCATGACTCCATGGCAGCATCATGCTTCGGAGCAGCCATCAACCCCACGCCCTCCTCCTCGTCAACAGCTCCCAAAACCTACAAACCAGAACTAACTCCACACCCGTCTTCCCTACGCCCACACTGCCTAGCGAGGGACAGGCTGAGGTTGTGGATCCCGTCTGGAATGAACCCGAGGTATGTAGAGTTAGCAGCAGTGTCGAAGGGTGCACAAGAAGTGGAGATTACAGATATCCAAGTAAGCTGTATCCTCGACATCATAGGCTCATTCTGGGCACAGTCAACAAAAGAAATGTATGGTGTTGGGTTGCTAGTCTTTCACATCTTTTTTGATGCCAACAGCATAGCAGAGGACCAGCAATGCCCAGTCGCCCCAGTTCTTCTTCTATCCTTTCTCTCCAGTTGTGCCGGATCATACTCAGGATTGGCCTTAGCCAACTACGCCACAGGCATCAGAGCCTGGCATCTCCCGCATGGCAGAGCATGGCTGATTCTTCCCTCCGAGCTCAAAGCCCTGCTCGAAGGAGAAAAAATGTGCACCCCCAAATCCTCCAAACAGCCAAAACACCTTCCTTTCACGTCACAAGCCCTATTGTCCATTCGGGACCACCTCAAACTAGATGACCCACTGGACACGGCAATCTATGCATGCCTAACCACAACCTTTTACTGTTTAGCAAGGCTGGGGAGAATCCACTGTAAAAACTGTAAAAAACTTCAACCCTCAGAAACATATATCCAGAGCACATGTATCAGAATCAACTGACTGAAACAGACTCCCAGTAACAAAGTTCTATATCCCAAGCACCAAGACGGCCCCCATTGCAGGCAAAGACACCTTCTGGGCTGCCTAGGAGGAGCCGTCAGACCCTAAAGCTGCTATGATCAACCATCTTCAGGTCAACCCAGCAAGCAACAACTCCCACCTTTTCTCCTGGAAGCACTCCAAAGGCACCCAACCGTTGTCGAAGAAAGAACTATTAAAAAGACTGTCAGCCATAGCAGCAGTAGCCGGCCTCCTGGACCTTAAAGGTCACAGGCAACAGATCAGAGGCATACTAGAATACCTCCTCTAAGGCATCCTCTTCAAAGTAGTGAAAACTATGGGCAGATGGTCTAGTGACATGTTTGTGCTGTACCTTAGGGACCATGTCATGATCCTCGCCCTGTACATCCAAGCATTACCAGCACTCAAACCGTTCATGCACTACACCCTACCACCAGTGCGCTAGAACAAAGTAAGTTTCACTCCTAACCTTTGGGGATCAAGCTTTGCTTTATGCGTTGCTGCACTCCTATATTTTGGGAACACAGCTTATCTTGACACCTAGGTTTGGACCTTTGTTTCAGGCCAGAAACGCCCTGCGAGCTTTCGCCCAAACACTCAACAAATTTCATTTCACCATCAGCATCCCTCAGATAGTAGCACGCTATATTGAGACTTACCCAGTCACTGAGCAATTGTAGCATATAGAAGGCTACCCAAGCAAAGAGGTAAAGGAAAAGGAAAGAGAAGGACAACTAGTGACAATAAGGTGTTCAGTTCTACCCCTGCACCAACTATCCTCTGACCATCCACCTCTAACCCTGATGAAAACGGAGTCTGCCATCATTGCAAGTTGCTTGGCCATTTCTAAAAGACTTATCTAGACTACTATTGCTACATCTGTTGAGTGCTCTTGCCTGGGCATCTATTATTGTATTGCCACCAATTCACCAGTCAACTTCCATTTACGCTTACTTAGAAAGATGAAGGATTTTACAACACATTAAGCCTATAGAACAAGGCTTTGAATGACTCTTACATTTGCTAGTGCACTGAGGAAGAAGCACTGTGTCATAAAGAGTATATAAGAGAAGGTGATGACAATCTCTTCTACTCCAATGACCTAGTCTACTGGGCTAATCAAGATAACTAAAGTTAATGACTCTAGGCTTAGTAAGGGGGTAATGTTACAAACTACGTAACTATGTACCTTCTTTTCTTTCTCTATTAAATGTTTACATCTCTTATTTCCTTTTACATCTTACTGCCTTCTGTCTTTAGACTTATGCCTTACTTTTCATGATCTCTTGGTCCATGCACACATATTAGCTTATTTAAGTACAATGTATTATGCTTAGATTCTTCACTTCAATCTTACTGTACCTGATTCTTCTCTTGCTTAAGATTTCCAATCTTAAGTTATCTGAATACTTAATTCTTTATTGAAGCACTCCTTTGATGAAGCCTTGACTCTATCTTGTTTGAAAGACTTAGAAACCTCAATGACTATTAGCTCTGTCTAGCTATCATTGTTAAGAACTATCCCAGTTTGTAACAGTATTTTAGGTTTTTATTAAACACATTGATATGTCCTTTATAGCCTCTATATATTATGAGAACAGGAAGGTGTGGGACCTGGGTGAACCAAGCACTTTGTGAGTGCTTTACTAATCATAGTTATACAGAGAAAGAATGCTGGACTGTCTTCATAAAGAAGGTACAGTAGCCTGTTAAGTAGGCTTTTTCAATTCTCATTCTTGTGTTAAACTTTGTTTACGTCTCAGTCTTCCTATTCCCATCACCAACTATCTGTTAATCAGATCCTTGGAACCATTCCCGTTCCTTTCACCCTCATCCTTTTTGGCTTCCTCGTAGATCATACATATATATTCCTACACTATGACTTGACCACTGGCACCAACATGATCCTTCCCTTTCAACTTATCATAACTCATCTTGATTCATGCCACCATTATAGCCTCCCTTTCCTGATCTGTGCCTCTAGCATGTAGTGTGCAGTGTTGAAATTCAAATTTCTGAGTCTATTTATCTGTCTGTCTGTCTGTCTGTCTGTTCAGATTTGTTCAAATGTACAACAAAGGTATGAGCTAGTACAAGTCTAAGTAAGTTAAAATATGGTTTGTAGTAGATAATATAGTAGATCAAACAAATCCAATAAACTTAAATATAGTAAAGGAGGATAAGCTGGTATGTAGAAAGTATGAATGGCAAGAAGTACATGGATCAATTTATTTTGAGTTTATGTTTATTTGTTTGTATGTGTTATAAATTCAACAGTTGCAACTACACACCACCTTAATTCAAGTACATTTGTAGGTCGTACTAGTAATCTGCATTTATTTGCTGTGTCACTCATGTAAACAGTTCAGGCCCTAGGGTAGATCTGCATGAGATCTGGCACACTACAAGACAGAATCTGCGTGAGATCTTGTGTGATCCGCATCTGTTCATTGTGACACATGTGTATTGCGATGCACCAGTAGGGCATGACTCATAACTTCAATTTAAGATACTTGTGTTAGTTACATGATCATTCACCTCTACAATATATATTTCTATGTCTCTTATGTGTCTAATTGTACCATCATACTTGTGATATCATTCCTTGCATGTTACTTACTATTTACATGACTTCCTAACCTCTCTAGGATGTTCCCTAGGTCGAGTTATTACTTACCTTTTGATTGTGGCTTGTCTGTTTACATTTGTTTGCTATATGTTGCCCATATCCCAGAGTCCAGTGCTCCCTGCCAACATTATTTTTTGACAGTCCCTATTTAGAGTTACTCTGAAGAGCATGAAGACACATAAGTCAGATTGGGAATAGATTATATCACAGATGATATTAGGTAAGAAGGTACCAGATATGTTGAAAGAAGCAGACTCTTGGTTAAAGAAACAAAGAGGGTCAGTAAGTATTCTTTTGTATTTATTGGAGTTTGTGTCAATATGCTCTAATATTCACAGTCAAATACTACTAGGTGCAAAAAGAAACCTATACTCAAAAGGTTGACTTAGAAGTTATCAGCATTATAAGTAGTAATGACTGTCCCTTAAGTCTAATGGCAAGCATGAAAGATATTGACTTCTTAAGTAAGGATAAATTCATAGTTAATAAAAGTAATACACTAAAGATCCGAAATAAACTAAGCATAGATGAATGCCCTGATTATAGTTATCACAGAGTCTTATAATAAACATGGAAATTAAAAGTCCAAGTGCAGAAAGAAATTTCAAAGATATAGTTATAATATATGATACTTTCAGCATCAGGTCCAAGATTTTCAGAAAAGCAAGAGATATGTACAATAATAATAATGACAGATAATAAGTAGTAATATTCGCAATATCAACTAAGAACTATAAAAATATTATGTTTGACCTGAGTGTGAGAGAACTGTGCTTAGTAATCCCTCCTCTAGTGTTGAATCTGATACATAGACATTCAATGGCTACTGTAAACTAAGTCATCCATCAGAGCAATTTATTATTAGTAATATGATTATTATTTATCAATACACTCTGCAGATAAGTTCTATGTCTATTATTGTTTTCTACTACCATCATGCATATTTTAGAATAGGGTGGAGGTTATGTAAGTTTGGGATGTATACCACTGCTGGTACTTTGACTTATCCTTGTACTATTTGTCTTCTACTATGGATATTTTTTATGGTGACAGTAACTTTAAAGATAGTTATTTTCTTTCCCTCACTTATCTGTGATCCTAGCATCATAGTGATCTGTATCTTGTTAATTTATTTGTAAGTATCCATTTTGTTAATCTTGTATTACTCAGCAGCTGATGTGACTTACCCCCTTTCATTCATAGGTTCTAAGATGCACATAAGTTATAGACTCTAGCAAAAGGTTTTGTAGTTAACTTTACTTATTTATCATATGTCACCTATAACTCAGAGTCTAGTGCTCCCTACCTCTTTAGCAACTTACTATAGACTCTAGTCCTAATCTCTTTTGCTCTCTTAGTAACCTCTGAAAGCAGTCTACTTTATTTTTATTTTAATATGTTTTTGTACTAGTACATATGTTAGAGAGATTTTTAATAGTCTCCTAAGATGCAGTCAATTTATTAAGCCTATTACTCAGACACTTTTCCATGACATTTTGTCAATTTCTAAGAAAATATAGGTATCAAAGAATAATGGAGAACTAATAGCCTAACTATGAACTTATCATAATGGACATTCAGGCTATTTTTCTCTTTCATGACTATTTCAAGATATGCTCTTTCACTGCTACCCTAAGTCATTTCTTAACCCTTTCCATCAGCTTCCTACTATCTATACCAGGCCAAATTGTTATACTAGCATGTTGGACCATAAGTAGAATATAAGCATATGTGCCATAGTTATTGCTCCTGTATTCCATTTAGCAAGATTATACATTTGGAAAACCTATACTCCTATCATTGGCTTTATACCAGCCAAATTTTTAAGATAGTAGTATAATATAATAATATTTTAGTTATCAATATTACTCCATTTGCCATTTGACTATGATCACAATGACCAATTCATTCTCTTATCCATTCACCTTACCCTACGCACTAGCATCATTTATCTTTCCAAACACCTTCATCTTATATGTTGGTATAAGAATTTCACCAAATGCCTTACAATATTCAAGACTTCAAATCCAGAAATCATAATGCAGTCTCTCATAGACTTATAGGAGCAGCTTAAA